CTGCTGAAAGTAAATTATAAAAACCGGTAGGCTTCGACCACCAATGTCTCCAAATATATTGCTCACTTTGTATGAGGACGCATTTCAAACTCCGCCGTCTGTCGGTATTGCGAGGATATGGAAGTTATCCTTGTCATTCCAACGACGCTGTCTTCAGTGGTTCTTCCCCAGCCGCAAACAGAACTTACAATAAATTTTTTATCGGCAACACGTCCGAGCGGCGGATGATGTCTTCAGGTTGATCGGAAGACGCAGGTTACTTCATCCAAGTAGACGTGGATCTTCTAGGTCTTCAGTTATTTTATTTTCGATTGTCTACTGGCGCAGTAGCTAGATTTCATGGTGCGCCTACCTAGCCGCAGATAGCAATGGCCTGAACAGCTGCCATCGGAAATATCTGATATGCTAACTCTCTTTAAAGGTAATCGTTGCATAAAGTAAACCACCCTCCCCCGCCCCTAAAAACACGGAGTTCACGTTGTACTTTATTGTTGCGTCCTTTACCTTTTAAAGATCCAGGGAACCACCGACGAGAAACGGGGATTCACCAGATAAAAATAGTCTCGAAATTTTACTCATTATACTTCAAATCACGATAGACCCGGTCTCAAACCCCAGTCCGGTGACCTAAGTCGATCAACGTTCCCACGCTTAGGATACCCATTCTGATTAATCAAATCCTGCATGTGGTCGCAGTTCTTTCAATCATTGACAGCAGTACACGGATTCATTGTATTTGGTCTTTCAGATACATGAACTTGTGGAACAAATCAATCAGATGAAAGTTCATCGGGAATTCTATCTAGAATTTAGTCGCGATCCACAAGCATTTATCTCTCGCTGGCTTGCTAGCCAATGTCGAGACTACTGGGTTATGACAGATGCAACACCCGGACATCCCGAGGAGGAACGTCGCGCGGATTTCTATCAAGCTCAGTGGACCCACGAGGCCGTGATGCGATACTTCTACAATCGGGTTCGTAAACTTATTATTCGCAATCATGCTTTCGTTGTTTCCCATTCCGATTTATTTGTCTATCACGGTGAATTATTTGTGGCCATCCATTGTAGGTTTTAGAACCCT